ATATATATATACTCAATTATTTAGAATATTTTATTATATTCTTGTTTTTCTTTTTTGACTGTAATGTGAAAAATTTGTAAAAGCGTAAATGTTCATTTAATTATGAAAATAAAATTCTATGTTTACACTGGAACAGTATCAAATAGTGACCATTTATAATTTCGCAATACAATTTCAGAGAACTTAATATTTGAATGAAAAAGTGAAACGAATTATGTAAGACGTGAACAAAAATATCATATCATGAATGAAGCAAGTACTTAATTAAATATAAAAGAACATTTCGAATGACTATTAAAATTTCTTACTATAAACTCGTCGTACCAAATACATTGTTTTTCACATAACATTTTAAGTAATAAATAGTATTCCAAATAATCATTAAAATTTCTTACCTTAAATTTATCATGCCAAATATGGACATAATATATTAGCTATTATAATATAGGCCAAATATCGTTTCAAATAATTGCGTTTAAAAAGTATTTAAAATTTATTGCGTGTATTGAATCCTGTAGTTATTGCGCACAAATTCTCTGATTCATAGAAACATTCCTTTTCGAACGCAATTTATAGGGTGTCCAACTCTTTCAGTGTAAACTTTGCTAAATGAGTCTATATATAGTTAAAAATGAAACTAAAATGTCATGTTATGATAAAATCTATAAATGTTTTATCAAAAAAAAATTTTAAACTATTGCATTCGCGTTTGCATTTAAAAAATTAGCTTTGGTTTACTGATATCGACGTGCTATTGAACTTGACTAAATTAAATTTTATCTTTAACGCAACATTTATTTACTTTCTATTATAGTTTCATATTTTTATCGTGAAACATCTATCGATTTCGTATTAAATATGATTTTAATCTAATTTTTATTTATGGAACACACTGAAAAAATTTATACGAGGAAATTTGGAACTCCCTATACGTATATTCATGTCCCTACTTCAATAAAAAATAGAAACGAATATCATGTTACAAAATTTATACATTTTTATCATTACTTTTCTAAAAAATGTATATTTTTGGCATTTATTTCTAATCTGTTATTATTTGTTTTTTATATGTTTACAGATTATTTCTAGTATAGTCACAGATATAGTATGTATCAAAATGATTTTATGATGGTTGTTCTAAGAACTGGGGGAATATTACAATTCTATCCAGGTATTGATATTATCGTACTCACTTTCCGGTTAAATCACGATTTTGTGCAGTGTAATTACACAACAAATGAAGATTCCAAGACAGTTATCAATTTCATTAAAACTTATTGAAAAAATATATTTCCCTATCATATTTAATGCAACAAGTAATCGTAAGTTGAACAATTAGAGAAATTAATAAGGGAACTTATAAAAAAAATATTTAGTTCAAAAAATTTAAAGCACAGTTGAAAATATTAGAACTTAAAATTGAATTTGTCTTTAATACATTACTTGTTACAACCCTTACACCATTTGTTACAAATTGCTACAATCCTTACACCAAATGTTCCATCACGTTGTCAAATTAAATAAAAAGTTTGTAATATTATGTTAATATTACATCTATATATCTGTTCCATTCATAAAATCCGATTTATAATTTAAATAACCTATTTGTCGTCGTATAATTATAAATGAAATTTCATACTTTGTAACTTCCTATAGGTCTTTGCTATAGGTATATGTATAAAAATGTCATTTGTTAAGTGGTCCATAAAATAAAGGTCGATTCGAAACATCGAAATGTAGATATAGTTATGAAAGAAGGCGGGTATAAAGTCCCTATAGCTGCTATGATTGCGACCGATCGCCAATTTTCAACGACAGTCCCAGTAACGCTGATAACGCGAAAGCACTGTCGTTATAGCGGACTTTGAAGCCTCGTAGCATGTGTACGATCGCCGCTTGTAGATGTCCTCGTCGCTTTTCATTGGCTCGAATGAACGAACCTTAGCGCGCAGGCGGTAAGCCAGTTATAAGAGTTGAGACTGCGTTCAACCAGCCACATTTCTACTTACGCAGTGAGCGCGACCAATCGTCTACGTCGTTCATAGAAATAAGGAAGTAACAAGAGAAGCGTAAGTATCATAGTGATATTACAGCGTCGAAAAATTTGGAAAATTTCAAATTTCCTAGATCCTCCGAATATTCTCTACGTCTCAAAATCGCTTAAATTTCACACAGTTTCATTTCGTGTCTAAACGTACACGCGTAACCTAACTTTTCTGTGAACATTTAAAACTCGGAAACATTTCGGTGAATACGAAACGAATGAATCGAAAATTCCATAAAGATTAATGATAACTTTGCTTATTCGTTATTTGGTGAATATATTTCCACGTGTTTATATTTCTAGAGAAATTTGAAAAGATGACAAAATTATTTTTTAACGCGGTTTCGAGTATTAATAAAGCGGTGCATTAATGTCACGTTCGTGAAATAAATTTTATTTGTCAAGATAGATATTTATTGTTATAATTCACGTTGTGTGTACTTACATGGTATAAGAAATGAATATGAAAGTTGCATTCTGCTGAGGTATCACGTTATGAGGTTTCGAACGTTACCAAGCATAATTGCGAATTCTAGCGAAAGCTGAGAAAGTGTTATATATAGCAGTATACATAGCGTATGCGTATATATGTAACTAGTGCGTTGAACCTCACCTTATCGCGATACGTTGTTTCTTTCCTGTGTTTATCACGGTTTTAACCCGAACTTTTGGCAGTGCAAAAATTCAATTTTTCGTCTAAGTTATCACAGTTACTTAGTTAATTTCCTTAAATGATAAAAATGTTGGTACAATACATGTATGATAAAAATGCAACGATGCACAAAGTGTAAGGAATCTTTGACTAAAAAAGTGATTAAATTTGTTATTAGAACGTTGAATGTCGGATTATCTTGTACTCTAATAAGTTAAATACAACAAGTAAAACAAAAAAAGATATGTTGCATTTGATACTAGTTAAAAGTTTAATAAGTTTAATATAAATACTTATATAAATATTATACAAGTTAATGTATCTATTATAAGAATAATTATATAAATATATAAACATATGTAAATAATATATTATTTATATATTAATATATTTTATAATAATAATAAATATATATTCATATACCATGTTATTTATATAATTAAATAACAATAAAAATAAGAATACAATATTAGTATATATAAATTAATTAGGAATATCGATTTATTATTTTATAACGTATTTTGCTATCAATAGATAAATGATATTATAATAAAAAATGGAATAAAATATTTCGTATAAGAATTAACAAAAAGACATCATTACAGAGTTTGCAATCGGCAGGGGTTTTGAAACATTCTGGAAAAATGGCTACCGAAGTTGCGCAGCTACCGCACATCGAAGTGTTTCATCGTGTAATGGAACTTCCAATGGTAGAAAGTGCGATATCGAAATCCGCAGCCACATATTTACGTGTGAAAGACTGTCACCAGTTGGTACACTGGGCGCTAACCACTGCAGAGATTTCTTTAAGCAACGCAACGAAGCAAGCGGTACCCATTGCTGCACCTATCGCCAAGAAACTCGAGAACCCTATACACTTTGTTGACCACACGTTGTGCCTTGGTCTCGACAAAATCGAAGAAAAAGTTCCGCTGGTTAAAGAGAAACCTGAGCAGGTTAGAAATCAATCCTTTTTCCGGTAAAATAAATACAAATTTAATCAGTATCTAAAAAGGCATCGTAATTTTTATCTGTGAACTTACGATATTATACGCATTAAAAATCGTTAAATTCGATGAGTTAAATGTGACATAACCCTTTGAACTGTATTAGAAAATATTAAATATTATAATTATTGTAAATAACAATGTTATTAATCGCTAATGTCTATTTTAATCATATGCCTATTTTAATCGCTATTTTAATAATATGTCTTTTGTTTATTAGATTTTAGAGAACGCTTATACGTTAGCACGACAAACTGTTCAACCCGCTGTTTCGAGTATTTCACTCGCGAACGAAATGATAATATCGCAAGCCTTAAGTTTGAGAGATATAAGTTGGAACAAAGCGAATCAGATTTTGGAAACACAATATGGCAGCGCAGCTGTCAGGGGTTTAGATAGCACAGCTGACGTTGTTAATAAGTTAATCGATAAATATTTTCCTGCGACTGGCGACGAACAGTCAATAGGTAAGCTATTTTATTTCAGAAATAGTTGATAAGTTTAATATTTTAATTCATTTATTATTTATTCATAGTAATAACAATTATACTATTAATTAATTATACTATAATACTATAATAATAATAATTATAGTTTTATACAATGTAGATTAATGTAAATAAGATTTTAGGTTAATCACGTATTTACATATACTTAATGTAGTAGCAGTTAATTATTCTTGTAGAGTGTTATTAATAATGTTATTAAAGTAATCCTGTTTTGCTTTTAGTGATACAAACAAACGAAGAAGATAAACTTCTTCACACCTTACAAACTGTTGGTCGTCTATCTAATAAAGCTGCTCGACGCGTTTATTCGACTATAATACTCCACTTGAGAACTATTAACACGGAGAATTTGAAATCGTATATCAAATCTTTGGTACAATTTTTGCAACTGACGAATCACCATGGCACAAATAATGGAGTACAAGTCCATGCGATTAATTCGAAATCACCGGATACATCAGACACGTCGAATGCAGACTCGAAAAAAGTAAATTAAATCTTCATTATTGATGACTGAAAAAGAAAGAGAACTTCCACCGATTCCATTTTTTTCTATTTATTTCCTGCATGCATTTTGTAACACATCATTCTTTTTTAAAATTTTTTTTTTAAAGATATAAGTATTATATATTACATTTAAGACATTAAAATGCATTTGTATTTATAGTGGCGAAAATTATAAAATGAGCTTTCCTACGAATTAAGTTTATTTTAGTATTTAGCATTCTTGTAGATACATACGATTTTACGACCAGACTATGACTATTTTGTAAAGATATTGTCATCTTTTATTATCATTAAAGATATTTTATTACTTTCTTGAAGATAGTGGTAGTTCATTTCATTATCCGTAAACCTATAGGTGACATCATACTTCACTAAACATTTTGTGAGTGAAAATAAAGAAATTTTCATTAATTGTATTTATACAAAGTATTTATTGGTTAATTATACTGAGAATAAAATGACGTAAATTATAATTTCGTTAATAGATATTTATTTTTAATTAAAATGTATGCTATAAAGCATACATTTGTTACAATTTTGTAGTTTAATCAAGCAAAAATTAATTTTAAATAAAATTGTTTCTTTTTAAAAAATGCAAGGAAAAGTAACAGATTTAATAATTTTCATTTTCATAATAAATTTTTTTATTAAAATTCTTTTTCTTTCACAAGGATGTTCTAAAAATGAATAATCTTTTATTTTCTTTGTGATAATAATTAGAAAGCAATTAATTTATGAATATATAAAAAATTACATGTACTAAATTAAGAAATTTGCAAACTGTAGAGCAGTGTCAGTTTGCTCCAATTTGCTTCTGATGTATTTTTACTTTAATTAAGCTATAAATATGCTTCGTCTTTGAATCAAAAAATAATCGTAGATAATTACATCATTTCTAGTTGTTAGATAATTCAGATTTTATCTCATTATCTAAACAAGTTATGATAATGTGAAATCCTCTAAAAATCACGTACAATTACTATAAATCAATTAGTACTAATTATTTATCAAGAATAACTTCAATAAAAGTTTTGTAAAAATCTTATCGATCTTAGTAAAATGAAGATAAAATATATTTCAGTGACTCATAATTCATTACTATATCCAATACTTGTAACGAAAATTAACAAATTTAAATACCTAAAATCATGTTTCGTTGAATTGATTGCAAGATTAAAGGTATCAATGTATTGCTCACAAGCTATCGCAACACCATAGTGCGAAATAAACAGCGACGCGACGCGACGTGACCTCCACGTCATGGATGATGACATATACATGCGTTTTACACACGTATAGCTGCGCAGAAGTACGACGTATTCATGGAAGTAGTCACGTATCAAAGTTCCCTTCGATCAACTATGGATACACACATTTATATAGAACTCTATGGGTGTGATCATTATGTATTTTGTCAATAGCTTTTAGTAACTTTTCTCTGAAATTAATCGAATAATTTTATATCATTTTTATATCACATATTTGACAATTTTATAATCTGTATATTAAAAAGAGCAGTTTGTTTATCAATAGTAAATTTTAACATTTATTTCGTATCCTATTTAAATTTTGATTCGTAGTATTAATAAAATTTACATATGAAATTTTGCTTCTTAATGCAGTACATAACCTACAATACCTAAAATTGCAAATTTTATGTTACAAAAGTGAATCGAAATGTGTAGTATATACCGCGAACAAGAATACCGGGAATAAGAATACTGGGAATACTTGTCTGTTTCTTTGTTTAATAAACATTCAATATTACAATTATTTAGAAACATTTAATGAATGTAAAATACTTAGTTTATTATTAAAATCAAATATCGGTTATAGATTTTCTTATACTTGGCATAAGGAATTATTTACGTAGAATTTGAAGAACGGAATAAAAGAACATACTTTCTACGGTCCTGAGGAATGTCTATCCCCACCTTTGATCATATTCTACCGCCAGCTTTTTGCGTAGACTATCCTCAGTGTTACCGGATCTGTCGTGTGTAGTGTTGAGTATAGTACGGTCTGCTTCTGTTACTACATTTTACTAACTGTTGCATCAAACACATCGAATAACCATTAATACCGGTAAGTAACAAATACAGACAATATTCACTAATTAAATATTTCATACTCAATACATTTGTCCATTAAAGTAGCTTTACATATGTATATTTCGTAATAATACAATTTGTGACTTAAATATTACTATTAAGGACAGTTACCAATATTGAAATACAATACCTTTGGGTATAATGAACCAGAGGATAATAGATAGGTAAGATTCGCAGTTGTTTTAATTAAATTTCTGATTGTTTTATTTTGTAGTATCTGTTTAACTTACTTGATCGATGCTTTTCGGTAAATATGTCTTCTCAATTATGGAAGTTTCCATCGTTTTCTGTACCAAATATTTATGAGCTATAGAAACTTAAGAATGATGATGATCAATAAGTGTAAATTGATATTTAACGTCTCTTCGGAAGCCTTAAGGGGGTATTGTAATCCGGCTTATAAAAATCAACTTTTTGGGGATTTTTTTCTAGGGAAATCTTGATATATATTGGCATGCAGTTTTCGCACTCAGATTTATTTATGTTTAAAGAATATTTATAATTTTTTTTAACGAAACTACTTTTACACATTATTATTAATTACTTTACACATTTCCAACAACATACGCTTTGAGAAAATGTAACAAAAAATAAAATCGATTTTTTAAATCCAGATTACAATAATACCCTCTTAAAGGAGATAACGAAGACACTTGTTTCCATATCCCATTACACTTGCATTAGTCTCATAATATTTTAATAGTATTATTATTATATCTATCACATCTTTTTTTTCATGAGTTTGTCATTAGTTAATTTGTCTGGCTACTTATCATTATCATAATATTGGTATTATGTATTATTATTCCTTTTATCAACAAGTAAAATTTCGTAATTTACTAAGCGTATAAAAGATTGAATATTTCATGGTAAAGACTGATAATTTATAAACTATAAATCCTTATACACAGACTTCTTGTATACTTACATACTTTATGTTCATTTAATACAAGAATTGCAAACTTACCAAATTTTTTCTTTTCCCCTTTTTTCTTATAAATTTATCTTAAACAAATTTGCATTAAATTATTAACATTACTTAATATGTAAAATATGAAAAATTTGATCGAGAAATTTGGAAATGTACGTTACCTTAAATTCACTTAAAATCACTTAAAACTTTGATATTTCTAATGTTAAGTACGTATGTATGTACGTGATCTACGTATTATATCGTATGTAACTATCTAATGAACATTTAACCATGCAAGTTATTTTAATGAATTGTTTATTTTACAGCGAAAGAAACATGAATTATACCCGTACTCTTATGAAAAGTTGAGTACTGTAGAGTAGTGTTAATTTACTTGACGCACTAGTACCTTTGTACTCTGACTTGTACTTTTGACTAGATTCACTGATTGCATGACTCAGAACTTACAAATATTGCCGTTATGTTTTATTTACTTCACATGTCTTTTATTTTTGTATTATTATACTATTTTTATATTATTATACGATTATTAGAGTGTTGTTCTACTGTTAATATTACATTATTGTTAAAATTATAATATTGCATTATTGTTTAATATTTTAGTATTGCACTATTATTAATATTTTATTATTGTATTGTAATACGATTATTATAGTGTTGTACTATTGTTAATATTACATTATTGCTAAAATTATAATATTGCATTATTATTTAATATTTTATTATTGCATTGTTGTTAACATTTTAGTATCGCACTATTATTAATATTTTATTATTGTATTGGTGTTAACGTTATAGTATTGCACTATTGTTAATATTTTATTATTCCATTATTGTTAACATTGTAATATGACACCATTGTTAATATTTTATTTTTCCATTATTGTTAACATTATAATATTACACCATTGTTAATATTTTATTATTGCATTATTATTAACATTATAGTACTGCACTATTGTTACTATTTTATTATCATATTGCTATTATATTATCGTACTCTTGTCATATTAATAATTTGCAGAGCAATAGTAATATTTATTCGAATAATGCATCAGAAAATGTGTTAAAAAGATGCAGAAAATGACAATGTAGATAGTCATATCTCTTTTTAAAAATATAACGTTTCTTATTTACTGTTAGTTGACGAAACGAAAATAGATGGTATTTTACATACGAATAACTATCAATAGCTTGCAATTAGTCATATTTGTGTTATTTTAATTAAAGTAGATAATATTATTTTGACTCCGACGTGACTGTGACGATACAATAAAGATGTTATGTCATAATAGCTTCATAATATAATATAATTGGAAACAAAACAATATTTTGCAAAATTAACGGTGGAATTTTGTTTTGGAAATGTTTGTTTACGTACAGAATTAAAATGCGTAGACTTGTTTAACGCAGAGTAAATTGGAATCAAATTATAACAAAATACTACGAATTAATTTATTTTATTTTTATTAATTTATTATCCAAAAGATTTGTTAATATAACAAATATTATTAACACAATTAAAGAAATTCGTAATCGAAGAAAGTAAGAAACATCGAATAACTATTTCTCTATTTTATCCCTTTATTTTAGTAAATAATATTTTTTAAAAACTTATTAATAAATATTTTATTAATATTTATTAGAATAATATTTATCTTTTATTTATTCCAATAAAATAAATATATTTTAAAATTTT